CTTTATCAGAAAATTTTGCAAAGATTTTGCTCCTAGTCCATGGCTTGTCATGACATTTTCTTAACAGTGTCTTCCAAAATACAAAAGTTCTTAATGCTGATGACATGGAATTTTTCAATGTTTTCTTTTATGGGTCTTGCTGTTGTGTGACAGTTCCCTCAGCTTTGTTTGTTTGTTTAGCATCAGGGTCTCACTCTGTCACCCAGGCTGGAGTGCAGTGATGTGATCATAGTTCACTGTAGCCTCCAACTCCTGGGTTCAAGCAATCCTCCCACCTCAGCCTCCAGAGTGAGTAGCTGGGACTATAAGTGCCACCACACAAGACTAATTTTTCTACTTTTTTTTGCACATACAGGGTCTTGCTATACTGCCAAGGTTGGTCTTGAACTCCTGGCCTCAAGTGACCCTCCTGCCTCAGCCTCCCAAAGTGCTGAGATTACAGGGATGAGCCGCTGCACCCAGCCTCCCTACCTTTTTTAGATAGCTTTATTTTGTAAAAATTCTTCCAAACTGTCATTCTTGGAACTCCCCTCTCCCTTTCCAAAATAACAGCTCCAGGTAACCCCTATGTAGACCCCCCACCCGCAACCCTAGTGCCCAGTGAGAGTCTCTCAGATACCCACATCTGCCCACTCTTGGATCGTGAGCACTGATGCCAACTGCCCACCTGGCAGCTGCAGTACAGGGTCTTCAGACATCATCCAGACCTTTCTTCCACAGACAGTGCTTGTCCAGGTGAGCGGAAAGCTGGTCTTCACCAAGGAGGCCCTTGATGTCTGTCCACTCCTGTGTCACAGCTGGATGGAGGAGCTACATGGAATCCCTGAGTCCTCTTCATGGAAATCGCAGCCCAATTAATATGACAACTCATCACGATTCCATGGCTGGCCTCCAGCACTGACCTTTCCCATCCTAAGCCACACGAGGATCAGGGATCCAGCAGTCACAGCTGAGGAAGTTGAGGCACCAAAAGAAGACAGGGCTGCCTAAGGTCACAGGGCAGGGTTGGGGCTTCCCGTCACCCACCAGCTGACCCCAGCCTCACAGGAAGAGCAGTCCTGTGTCCCACGAGGCTCTCATAATCCATCCAGGCTGCTTGTGAGAGGCACAGGCCCCCATGGTGACAGGCTGGGCAAGAATCTGTCCACTGATGCTTCAAGCTACAGGTTCTATGCCTGGCGCTCTTGCTGTGGCCACGGGAGGTGCACCCTGCCTGCCCTGCCCACCTCTCCTCTGCCAAGGCCACCATCCCAGAGCCCTGCTGGGCACCTGCTACAGGCCCAGGGTAGGCTGCAGCCAGGAGAGGGGAGAACAGATCAGATGAAAGGTGTAGCCCAGAACTTGGACTTCTCTATCTTCAGGGTGTGGCCCTCAACCTCCAGCCAGTGTCCACTGCACAGTCACTCCCAAGGCCCCTTCCCACATGCAGCTCAACATCAGGACCTCAGGGACCCGTCTCTCCTGGCCCAAAGCTGGTCACCGGGTCCTGCCACCTCGCCACATGTGCCCACAAGCCCACCAGCCCCACAAATGCCCCCAAGGAAACAGACATCCACGTCAGTTCCAGGCAGTGCTCAACACCCTCTGACATGTCCACTGTGGCACCCAGGGCAAATCCTAATTACCCAGGAACATGAGCAAGGCCTGTGTGTACAGACTCTGGGCCCCATCACACGCTAATGGGGGCTACAGACCCAGCAGAGGGCCCCTGGAGAAGGGGGAACAGCCTGTGAGCAGATGCCTCATGCGCCAATATTCTCTATGAAACCCCTCCCGAGGGCTCCAGAGACATCCCGGAGGCTTCAGGGGGAATTTCTGGGCAAGCAGACTACCCCAGAGAGCCGGGTCAACCCTAGTCATTCTAGCAGTTGATATTTTTAAGCTACAAAATTCCAAAAGTCACAGAGGAGTCAAAGTCTGGGGTAAAAGATTCCCTGGGGTTCGGGAACAGCCCAAACAGTAACCCTGGGTCAACTCAACAACATACCTTTGCTAACACCCTGGAGTGGGCACATGGGCCCAAGAGCTCACTATATCTGCTCTCGGGAAGTCGGAACAAGTACATTCTAAGGCGGGTGTCTGAGGAGATGCCAGTACCTAGGATGCGCAGAAGGTTGCCTTGGCTGCATTCAGTCCCCATGACCTTCCTTCTGCATTAGAAAACAGCTGGGCTCGAGGGCCACCCTCCCTCAGGGTGGCAGAAGTCAGAGGTCTGGTGCATACAGCTCCCAAGCTGTGCTGCCTCAGGAAAACTCTCTGCCTTACTGGATCTGACAAGGGGGCTGCATGAAACCTGTACGTTTTTAACTTTTCTTTGAAACAGAACCTGACATGGCCACGGCCATGCTGCGTTGGCCCCTGGACAAGACAATGCTGGCGCCCTCCACCAGGAGTGTCTCCAGGACGAGAACCACACAGTTGCCTAGCACTCGGGTTTCAGGGCCAAGGTGTTCCTTTTGGAAGAACAGAATCGATCTCTTCAGGCCCTCCTGAAAGCGAAGCTCTTGGCTTCCGACGGGCTCAGGTGTTTATCCTCAGAACAACAGTGCCTTCTATCACCCAGAAAAACAAAGCAAGCCTTCCAGTACAAGCTGTACTTTCAGACACTGACCACCCAGGAGAGTGTTCAGCGTCTGCTCGCAGGGACCACCCTGCCTCATCTAGCTATCTATGACCCCCACCACCAACTTCTGCCTACACCACGAAGGGCCCTCTGCCCACTATCCCTGACAGCAATAAGCAAGGCCCCCTCTGGGCACCGCAAGGCTAGAGCATGTGCACCGTGGTCCTTGCCTGGTGGCACCCCCACTGGGGTGGTGTGGCATGGCGCCCTCCATTTCCCTCTGCCGCCTGTGTTCTGAGGCACATGCCCGAGGGCACCTGGTAGGCAAGCGGCAGTGAGGTCTGTCCCAGGCCGCCTCTCTGCACAGGTCTTAGGTCATAAAAGGATGAGCCATTCCTGGGTGAGACTGCGGAGAGGTACACTAAGATCCAACAACTGACCTCTATCCAGAAAGATGAGGTCAGTGGTCCCGAGAGCACCACAGCAGACCCCTCCCTTCCTGCCAGCAGCACAGCCCAAAAGACTCAGCCACAACCACTCCCGGGGCTCTCTCAGGAGAACCCCCCAACGGAAAGTGTGTGGCCTGCCGGCCTCAGAGAAGCAGCCAGGAAAAGTCCCAAAACCTCGGGGTACCCACGAGGCTGTGACACAAAGGAGCTGGGGTTCCAGGGTGGGGCCATGTCATCCCAGCCTCCACAGGCAGGAGCTGGAACCAGAACATGCTCCGCCAGGTGCTCAGCACCCACATGCCTGCAAGAGCCCTATGGCAGGGGCCTTTTGAGGACAGGGCTGTGCGCTTTGAGGGCCAGCTCTGAGCAGATGAAGATGAGTTCATCACGACTCGGGGACCAGGTGTCCCACTCAAGGTCACCCATGCAGGTAGCAGCAGAGCTTGGAATCAGGCCCAGGACTCCCAGGATGAGGTGGCGGCGAGCTCCCACTCCTCCAGGGTGTCTTCTCTCCTTCCACACAGAGGTATCTCCTACTTCAGGCACAGAGGTCACTGCTCCTGATAGCCGGCCAGGATCCAGGACTGAAACAGCACAGGGCATATGTCCCCACACCTGCATACCCACTTTTGTCACCTGTCTGACAGCATGAGGGAGCCAGAGGTCTGAAGCCCCCTGCTGCATTTTTATAGAACGTTTTGTCACCTTCCCTCAAGCAAAAGCATCTGAGCTTCACTCAAGGTGACAAGATAAGCCCTGGATATTTGCCCAGAAACCAGGCAGCAGCTTGAGCTCCGGCAGGCGCAGCAGGTCATGGTCAGGAGGGGTGCAACTGTGAGCAGGCACATCCTGGGTATCCTGCTGACCCCACAGGCTCAGGAAGGGACTTCCCAAGTTCCACCAGGTAAGACGGCTCCTGCCGTGGAGAGGTTCCTTGAGGTCATGCAGGAGGGCCTTCCCACTCCCTCCCACAGGAACCTCAAGGACCCCTAGGTTCGTGGCTGCCACCACTCAGCCTTGCATTTCTCCCCGGGCAGCCCTGCGCTTCTCCAGTCTCCTTGCAGGGGTCTTGTGCACGCATCTATCCACTCACACCCTGCAGACCCCGGGCATGCTGACAAAATTCGCAGGCAAAGCCCTGGTAGCTTCATGGCATTCACAGCACCACTGACCCCATGCCACTCTGGGATTCCCGGCCGACTCCTCTCCTGAGGACTCACACAAAAGGATTCCAGCGGGTGGACTCACTTGGGTTACCCCAGCTGGGGTATCTCACTTATCAGCGTCCTAGAGGCCTCTCCCACCAGGAGGAGAGAGTCCGTCCTGCCACTGCTGACTCCTGGGGTTGACAGCCTGGTGCTGGGACCCTAGTCACGGCTCAGACACCCAAGCAGAGGTCAACGGCGGCCCCTGACAATGCCCTGCACACCTGCACACAGGCAGGCCGAGCCCTGGTTTCATGCTGGTCACTTCTGAGCACAGAAAGCCCTTGTAGGGCTGTACTCCTGGAGGCAACCTAAGAACAATCTTGAACTTACAGAGAAGCTGCCAGAAGAGTACAAAGAACAGCAGAGCCCCACATCAACCTGTGGTGGAGTATTCCTACCAGCCCACGTGTTCTCTCTACACATACACATACACACACAACCCTGTTACACACACACAATCCTGTTACATACACACACATACATATACACAAAACTCTCTTACCCATACATCAAGGACCTCATGCTTGCTCTCCTGAGGATCCAAGAGAGTCCAGGCACTCCACCACACTCGACCTAAAGACACCCTCTCCCACAGCAGGCATGGTTAGTATCCACGTGATGCCTCAAGCCATCGTCCGTCTGCCATGTTGTCACCTGACTTAGTGGCATCTCCAAGTCACTTCCTGGGTAAGCCGCCCTACCTCATCTGCAATTCCATGCCAGTCCTCACCATTCAGGGCACCAACAGACCTTTCTGGATGACATAGATCCTCCTCTCACCTTGGCAGAGCTGCTGGACCTCAGCTCTGCTGGCATCTCCACAATGATGTGCGGCATATTCCCAGCCAAGCGCCACGCCATGACCCTGGCACTCTGACACCCAGGTAGGCCTGTTCTGTGCAGCCACCTCCCCCCACTGTGGTGGCCCTCAAAGGCTGCTCTACCTCTGCCGATCAAAGCAGAGCCCTCCCTTTGCCCACTACCTAACTGCCAGCAGCATGAGGGTTAATATCTGGTAGTCTGGCCAGGCTGCACACCCAATTTTAGGGCAAACAGCAGACTGGATGTTGCCATGAAGGTATTTTCTACACATGATTGCATGCAAATCAATAACTTCAAGTAAAGTAGATCACCATCCATGATGCGGTGGGCCTTGTCCAATCAGTTAAAGGCCTTGAGAGAAAAGGACTGAAGGCCCTGGAGAAAGGACTTCTGCCCCAGACTCGGGCCCTAAGAGCAGGGTTGCAGCATCACCTCTTCCCTGGGTCCCTGGCTTGTCGCCAGTCCTGCAGATTGTGGGCTTGCCCTGTAACTCCAAACACTTGCGCCAACATCCTAAAACACAACTCTCTCTCTGCACTGATCTCCCCACCTCTCTTTTCCTCTCTAAATACACATACCTTTGGATTCTGCTTCTCCAGAGAGCATTGGCTAATTCAGGCAGACACACGGACTGCCTTCTGCAACCATCCAGAACATGCCACTGTCCTTAAAGTCTTGATACTCAGACTGTCCCTCAGTGCTGGCTCCTGGCTTATCCTCAACCCCTCTGAGCCTCTGAGGCTGTGACTCCAGGAAAGCAACCGGGCTCCAGTGGCCTGTCACAGCCACAATTGTGAGCCTGCCCGCCCAACTCAAGTCTTGGGTTCCAAGACCTGGAAGTACCCTCATATGTCATGGTGGCCAAGGCCCATAGAGGTCCCCTATGCAGGACAGCTCCCCATGGCCATGCATGCAAGAATGGCTGTTTCGATGAGGACACAGCTCCTACTTGGGGTGTCCTCAAATTTGGGGAGAAAGAAAAAACACATTTTCCACCCACTAAAACTTAGTATTTCCTTTCATTACAAACGTAGGCAACAAACTCCAGTAGTACCAGTGGTGCCTGTAACTCTGACATGCCTTTAGCGCATCAAATGACAGTCATGTCACAATCTGGAAATGCTATTTTGGCTCCCTACTAATTATGGAGATTAGACTTCCTGCTCCATCTTGTTATTAACACGTTAGGAGAGCAACTCTGCCGATAGGTCACACGTTTCTTTTCAATGCTTTGATAACTCCTCTGACACACGTGCCCATTCCCCTATCTGCAGAAGGCATCCCCAGACCCCTCAACTACCAAGGAAGACAGAAGACACGGCTGATAGAGGATGGCTCAGGGCAGAGAGCAGGGCTCGCGTCCAGCGGCCAGGTTCAGGCCCCTCTCTGCTGCCCTTGGCCACGTGGCCTTGAGTGAATGAGGGAGCCTCGGTTTCCTCCTCTGCAAAACGGGGCCATGAAGTCCCATCGGCCAGGCTGAGGTGACATTGGGAAAGGCTGGACAAGTACATTCCCTCTTCCCATGATTCCCCCCCAAAACCCCCTTCCCACCTCCAAAATGAAAACCACAGCCTCGTCACCTGCTCTTCCTGCTGCCCCAACCCAATGTGGTATCTGAGACCGACAGTGGCAAGCAAAGGCTGCCTTCATCTTCAACAGTGAGACCAGACCGTGGGGGCACCCAGGAGGAGAGACAGGGATTAAGCCAATGTAGACATATCCTTTCAACAAGTCCCAGGATTTGCCAGAGAAAACAATCAAGGAGAGAGGCAGGGACTGTGCCACCAGGGGCAGTCCAGAGACCCTAGCGATGAGAAGGGACACTGCCACCATGGCAGCCAACAGACCATGCAGGAAGCTCTGCCCACCACCTTCCAGAAAAGACGCTCTCTGGGCCGCAGCTCTGAGCAGCTCACCCTGGGCCCAGGCAGCACAATGATACCTTTGTCCCCTCCAAATCCCTGGCCAGCAGTTGCAGTGCCAAGGCTCCCAAGACACTGGGCGTGGCACTCTACCTTGGGTAGAAGCAGACCACAAGGGAGCAACACCCTTTCGGACATCGATGGCACGATCACAGTAGATTTTTCTACTTCTAGCCTGTGCCAGCCACTCAACAGGCAGAGCATGTAAGACAACGGTGGCTGGATGGCCCCACAGCCCTGCAGACCCAGGGAGGGAGGTATGGGCCCAGCTGCCACCTGGACTCCCATCTCTGCCCCAGAAGAGCCTGACCAACAGGGGTAGAGAGAAGAAGGCCTGCAGGCCCACCGATTGTCCCGTTCCAGAGGTGCCACCCTCACACACTCACTGTGGCTTGGGAAAGCCCCTGCACCACTGATCTTTTTTTTTTTTTTTGAGTTGGAGTCTCACTCTGCAACCCAGACTGGAGTGCAGTGGCCGCTCCCGGCCACCGCAGCCTCGACCTGCTGGGCTCCGGCGATCCTTCCGCCTCAGCCTTCCGAGTAGCTGGAATTACAGGCATGAGCTACCACGCCCGGCTGATTTTTTGATTTATTGTAGAGATGAGGTCTTGCTGCCCAGGCGGGTCTCGAACCCACGGGCTCAGGCAATCCGCTCACCTCAGCCTCCCAAAGGCGCGGGATTACAGGCTGAGCCACCGAGCCCGGCTCGATCTTTTTTTTTTAATTGGAGTCTCACTCCGTCGCCCAGGCTGGAGTGCAGTGGCATGCTCACAGCCACCCCAGCATCGACCTGCTGGGCTCAGGCGATCTTTCCACCTCAGCCTTCCAAGTAGCTGGAACTACAGGCATGTGCTACCATGCCCAGCTAATTTTTTATTTTTTTTATTGTAGGAATGAGGTCTTGCCAAGTTGCCCAGGCTGTTCCTGAACCCGTGGGCTCAGGCAATCCCCTCACCTTGGCCTCCCAAAGTGCTGTGATTATAGGCTTGAGCCACCACACCTGGCCCACTGATCACTCTTTACAGATCTGTCTGCCCTCCTGTCCACACACAGAGGACCCCAGCAGGGACAATCCCGGAGACCCCAGGAGATGACCTACCCCATGAGGACATAGTAAAGGGGATTCACAGCCTCCTGCCCTAGGTGAGTAGTCAAAAACAAAATCAGCACCAGCTTCCATCCAAGAACCAGCAGGGCCACAAAGATCAGAGGACCACAAAGACACCCCTGCCCCCTGGGTTGCCCTCCCTCAATCCAGCCTCCCCCTTCTCTGGTGCCTGGCACAAGAGGCCACAGAAGAGTTTCTGATCCTGCCCTCTGTCCACCCCTCCCCCACCCACCATGCCAGTTCCCATCTCCTGGCCTCCTGGGCTCCACTAGGGGATGGTGTCTTCTGGCCTTGGCCTTCAGAACCTGGAGGCCCTGCCCATGCCAAGCTGGAGCCTCACCCTCCCCCACTTCCTGAGCCTGGCGGCCCTGACAGCTCTACCCAGTGCCTAGGTAGGTGCCGTCTCAGAACCACTGCTCAGGATCTGAAAGTCAGAAAGCCAGCAGCGGGCAAACTGTGGCTACTGGGGCCCTGCGGGAGGCTGGGTGCTACCACAACTTGGGTGGGACCTGGCGAGACGAATGTGGTCCTGCTCACTCAGGGCTCTGGCTACAAATCCTTGCGTGGACAACAGAGTAACACAGGTAGGGGCTACTTTGAGGACAGCTGGGGGCCACTGAACCCAGACAAGAAGTCCGGGGGGGCAAAGCAAGTTCAGGGGACACCAAGGCCGGAGCATCAGCGGAGGCAGTGGGAAGGATCAGCATTCAGCAGGGTGAGACCCAGGAGTGTCAGGAGAGCCTGAGCCCACATGCACATCAGCCTGTGCCCTGAGCTACAGAGGGAGTCAGTGGGAGCACAGAGAGCCCAGGGAGACAGCGGGCACATCCCACCCACTCTCGTGCCATCAAAGGGGGTGGCATCCACCTGACTACCTGGCCTTGTCTGGCCCCACTGCCTGCATCTCCTCCTCCCCCCAGCATCAGCGCACTCCAGAGTCATCTCGGAAGCCGGTCTGCATGAGGGCGTCCAGTTCCCACTGTGGCTGGAAGAGAAGGACCAGAAGCTGTGGAGACACAGCTGGTGGGTGGAATGGCAGGTGGGTAGGGTGACATGCAGCAGTAGTTGCCCCACAGAGAAGGGGAAGAGGAGTTACCAATCCCAGTTGAGCTGGCAGAAGCCAGAGCCACCTCTGCCATACATGGTCACTCCAGGGCGATTACACTGGGGTGGGGGTGAGCAGGCAGGGACCGTGGCCTCAGTTTTCCCAACTGTGACCACAAGCCAGGGTGTGGGAGAATTAGAACATGAATGGTGTTGATCAGGCAGGTATTGCAGGAACACCAGCTCCAGGCCCATCTCAGGCCTCTTCTGATTTGACCATGGGTGGTGAGGCTCAGGGAGCCCACCTGCTCCATGAGACAAGTGTTTGGGCATCAGAGAGAACGATGCAGAAGGTCTGGACAGAAGGGGGTGCTGAGCAAGCGGAGACCAGGGTGAGGCTGTGTGGAGAGTGCTGAAGCCACAGTGTGTGGCCCTTCACTGGACACTCACTTGGTCCCCACAGCCTCCTGTGCAGTTGGAACTGCTCCCCCTTACAGACTGGGGAAACTAAGCCTCGAGCAGTGTCACACCTGTGTCCTGCACAAGCCCCTTTCAGCTGAGGCAAACCTCAGAACCCAATGCCAGAACTGCGATAGCCATGCCCAGTGTGGGGGTGGGGTAGAGTGGGGGTGGATAGAGCCACACACGAGCCCCTGGAGATGGGAGCTGCTGACCCTCCAGAAAACTCCTCTACACACAGGAAGAGCTCGAGATAACATCTCCAGGAACGTGAGACCGATGAGAACAGCCATGGCTAAGCCTGGAGCACTTCCTCCACTTCCTGTGGGTGGCAGAGCCCATCTTCTTGGGCTTGAGAATACAGAAACCAGGTCAACTGCAGGAAACAACTTCTGCTAACATTACAGTCTGGCAGAAGTTAGAAAAAGGCCATCAGTTAGTGGGGGGTGTGGGGTTCAGAACAAGTCCAGGCCCCTACCCAG